CCCCCTGCAGAGCCCCCACCCCGCCCCCACAGCCCAGCGCCCCCTGCTGAACTCCCCCCGCTCCCTGCAGCCCAACGCCCCCTAGTGCCACACCGGGGCACGGGGGCCAGCCCTGACCCTAGGGGTGAGCGCCCCCTGCTGGGATCCCCCTCTCCCTACACCCCAGCGCGCTGACACCCAGTGGCCACTTGGGACAGCGCGTGACACGTCCACACGTGCTGCTGCCTCCGTATTGTCCCAGCCGCCCCAGGCCCTCGGCCGCGCGGGGAGGAAAGCGACGGGAGAGCCCAGAGAGCTGAGAGCTGCCTGTGAGCAGATCCTCGCCTTTGTAACGGCCAGAGCCTGGAAAGCGAGAGAAGGGGGTGTATGGGGCTCGCTGTGGGACTATGGGGTATTTGGGGGGGCTATGGGGGTAGCTAGATGACAGATGTCTGCAGGGGGTGGAGCTGGGTCACTTTGGCCACTAGGGGGCAGTGTCGTCCCCCCCATGGCACCAGCTGCCCGGGGCCATCCGGGTTCTGAGCTGTGGGGGTGGGAGTGTGGGGGGCTGAAAAGCAGCTGCCAGGCAAGGACCCGATGCCCCCCCCCCGCCCCTTGTGCTGGGCTCCCCACAGCGTGTCTTGAACTCAGCTCCCCTGGAGTCACCTCCATCCCGGGTGGAAAATGGGGTCAGGGCCGGGCTTGCAGGGGGCTGCAGGTGGGGAGTGAGGGGCACCGGCAGAGCTGGGGTGGGGGAGTCAGGACTGGGTTAGCAGGGGGCTGCGGGTCAGGAGTGAGGGGCACCGGCAGGGCTGGAGGGGGCGGGGGGGCGTCAGTGCTAGGATGGGGGTGGAGTTTGCTCATTCAAAGCTCCTTACCAATTCCTCATTGGGGCCAGCCCTGCCTGCCATAGGGAACCGCCCTCTATGAGCCAGCCACCCCCTCCTGCAGCCCAGCCCCCCCCCCAGCACCGCTATGGGCCTGGGCATGCCCCTGTCCATCTCTCCTGGAGATCCCCCAGCCTGCAGCTAGCCCCAGTGTCACCCCTCCCCCTGATAATACAGCGCCAGGCGTCTGGGGCCCGTCTGTCTCGCTGCCGGCCCATAACCAGATGCCAGAGTGGACCCAGACTGGGGTGGAGGCAGGCAGGGAATGGGACACGGGGCCTTTTCCTTTCTGGCTGCACCTATTCAAGCCCGCCCAATTCTCGCCTCTAACACACGAGATCCCAGAGCCAGGGATAGGACCCAGGAGTCCTGCCCCCCTCTAACCATTCAACCTTGGGAAGGGGATGGTCCCATCGCTCTGGAAGTTCCTATGAGAAGACCAGTTGAGGTCATTGGCTTCTCCATATGCCACCCACCCTGGCCAGGGGATCCCAGGCATCCAATCCCAGGCTGACTGGCCCAGTTAGGGTGGGTGGATCGTGCTGGCAACCCAGACAGGGAGCGGTTGGCCTCTTCCTGGATGGGGTTGTGGAAGGAGAATTCCTGGAGGCTGTCCTATCAAAGATGGAGGTAGAAGGTCCTGGAGCAGGGGTAGCCCATGAGCCAGACCTATCTGCTGTGGAGGCACCTGTCCTTCTCTGACATCCAGTTGTGGAGCCTGTCGTCTTCCCCTGGGACCCTCTGGACCACGTCGCTGGAGAGCACGGGCAGGGTGATGCGGCAGAGCGACACCAGCTCCCAGTGCATCTCCGGGAGGATGTAGGCCTGGGGCTCATTCACCGGGAGCAGGGCGTAGAGGGCAGCATGTTCCCCCGGTGCCTGATGAAGTTGACAGTCCACATGCCTTCTTCCATGATGGTGGCTGTGATGGGTGGATGGGAACATTGGGAGAAGGGATGGATGGCAGGGAAGTGTTCTGGATGGAGGGAGGGATGGATGGGTGGGAAGGTGGGCCGGATGGAGGGAGGAAGGGATGGGTGGATTTTTGGATGAGAACATTGGGTGACAGGAGGGATGGATGAGAACATTGGGTGGAGGGAAGGATGGGAAGGTGTGCTAGTGTCACGGACTCACAGATCGTGCCCACTCTTGGCCCCGTGCGGTCCGTGGGGGGTGCCCCCTGTTAGTGAGACAGCCCTTCTCGGGCGTCCACTCTCGCTCGGGGTCAGGCCCCTCCACCTCCTGGAGCCGCACCTCTCTGAGCCTTAGCACGTCTGTCTCTGCTCGTGGGCCCCCTCAGGGAGTCCCCTCGCTCTGGACCCCCTGGGCCTTCACCCCTGAAGGGGTTGATGCAACCCTGTTCTCTAGACCGGAGTGACTCTCAGCCAGCATGAAACAAGAGGATTTATTGAGAGTTGAACACAGCACAGGAAACTCTCAGGGCCTCAGGCCTGGCCTCCCTCAGCCCAGCACATCCCAGTCTCTCTGCATCCAGGTGGGCTCTGCCTGCCCCCCCTCTCCAGCCCAGAGCCCCCCTGCTTCCCAGCTGGGCATCTGATATCACCGGGCCCGGGCCCTGCCTCTGTCCATTGTCTTCTCTCCAGGTAAATAGGGTCGTAAACCGGGGCCTCCGCTCCTCGCTTCTGTCCTCTGGCTGGAACCGGCTGGTTAGGTCACTGGGTCCTCACTCTGCAGCCCATTGTCCTCCCACTGGCCAGAACCGGCTGCGTCTCCTCAGCTGGGCCTCTGGGTCACCAGGTCGCCACGTCTCCGGTCGCTAGGGTATCCATCCTCCCGGCCATCGGCTGGGTCCCCAAGTCCTCCCTCCGGTCCTCTGCAAAACAAACTCCCTC